TGGTGGTGAGATAAGAAATGAACAAGATCCGAGACCCTCAGAAAAGTAATATTCCTTGTAGGTAAACTGAGGGGAAATCTATTCATTAGAGAAAGGTGATGGAGACAGCTACCTCCCTCAGCTTCGGAGATGGCTGAAACCAAGACAGAGAATTATCTTCAGAGAATTTCTAATCATAACAAAACTCACACATGGGGTTTATATCAGTCAGGGTTCCAGGATAATGACGATGTAACATATAAATTAAGGTAATTTGAAGAAGGCTTAATAAAGGGACTATTATAATTTGGGGCACAGTTTGTTTAAGTATATGAATTAGCTCTGTCCAGTCTGTGCCTCCAAGATGACAAAGAAAGAACAAGGGCCGTGCCTAAAAGGGCCGCGGCCACGTGCAGCCTATTCACTGCATGACCAGTGCCCGAGGACAAGGCCATTAACAAATTCGTCATTGGAAGCCATGTTAACCTCTGTGACCTGCACGGACACTCCAGATGAGTTCCTGAAAAATCTGAAGTACCTGGAAGACCATGAAAAGGGGAAGAAATGATCAACCCCTGTGGAGCCTACTTAACTTTGAGACATTCTCTATTGTTCCTTATTCCTGCCCCAATTGATAAGGCTATTGGACTTTGTAATAGACCTTGCCAGCCTTGTGACTCCAGACCCCCTCCCAGCTTGCAAAAAACCACCCTAAACTGTAAGACCTATAACTTTCCACTGCCTTCCCCACAACCTATAAAACCAACTCCTACCCCACCCCTTTTGTTGACTCTTCGGACTCAGCCTGCCCACACCTGTGTGAATAAACAGCCATGTTGCTCACGCGCGCACACACACAATTCATCACTGGAAACCTAGTGGGGGCCGCAGCAGTCAGGGACATTTCCGAAGTGAGCTTCTTCGATGCCTATGTGCTTCCCAAGCTGTATGTGAAGCTCCATTACTGAGTGAGTTGTGTAATTCACAGCAAAGTAGTCAGGAATCCATCTCGTGAGGGCCACAAGGACCGAACACCCCCACCCCGATTTAGACCTGTGGGTGTTGCCCCACAACCCTCACCAAAGCCCATGTAAGCAGCTGAGTCCTTCAAGACTGCAGACAGATTAGTCCAATAAAAATAAAATGGAAACTGTACTTAATATTGCATGTTGAGTGTATCTGTGCCAGATAGGGTGGGGATTTTGTATGTTAGACCAAGTGTGAAGTGACACACAGTATTTTCATGGGGAAGAGAGGTTATTCATGTGAATTACACCTTAATTGTTTACAGTCATTCTTGGCCTCACAATTTGCATAGCTGTGTGAAATAAAGGGGGGTTAGGCATCTATAAAAAAAGTAGATGAATTGGGAATGAAAAGTTAGAGAAACCACAGAAATCATAAACCTGGCGTTACTCTAGCACCTCTGTAGCGGCCACCTCTCTGCTCTTAGGTGGCCATGGCGCCCACTTCTGACCTGCGCTCAGTACTCCAGGCTTGATTTTCTTCCTTCCTCAGTCACAGGAAGCACTGCTGGTGGGCACCATGCGGCCGGAACTAGCTACCATCCCCTACCAGTGAGGTGATAAAGAGGTCACCAGGGCGCAGCAAGGCACTGGAGGATGATGGCGCGTAGCTGGCATGGTTGGAGAAGGGGTGTTGAACTTTACCGTCTCGCCGCCTCTGTCCTGGCGTGGCCTGTGTGAGTCACTACTGCTGAGGGGAGGCTAAGTCCAGACCCCGGAGAATTACACAAGGCCACTCCCTTTATGAGAGCACCTCTACCAGATGGCATCTCTTAACGGATGGCATTAGGATAACATGGGGATGGTTTACAGATTTGACAGTGGTTCTCCTGCCTCAGCCTCCCAAGTAGCTGGAACTACAGGCGTGAACCACCATGTCCAGCTAATATTTGTATTTTTGGTGGAGACGGGGTTTCACCATGTTGGCCAGGATGATGTCCGTCTCTTGACTCTGTGATCCGCCCACCTCAGCTTCCCAAAGTGTTGAGATTACAGGCGTGAGCCACCACACCTGACCCTTCTATTTATTTTTAAAATGGCCCAAACAAGCAGAGCTTTAGTGATTTAGAGCCTGCCTGCTTTGCATGCCATCTCCCATCCTGCCCCTCCCCCGCAGACCTCATCTGACAGCTGTTATTACCCTTTGGTAAGATAGTGCCTTGTGGTTACAACAACTCAGGCTGCTACAGCCATTCAGAGCTCCCCCACCCAGAGATTCCCATCTGCTCCCACGGCCCTGCTGCTGAGCAGCATCGCCTAGACACAGAGGTCCCCACTCCCGGCTCCTCTCCAAGGGTTCCCTGCTCTCCTCCCTCCCCTTCTGGATGCTGGCCCCTGCACCTTCAAGGCCTCTAGACGGTCTCATGCTGTGGGGAACTTCCCTCTCATACTGCCCTGTCCAAGCCCCACTCAGTGCAGTTTGCTCTGTGTAACTGCCTCCCATGGTCACCTCTTTTTCTTCCATCAGCTCCCAGATCCCTCAAAACCCTACAGATCTGTATCCCCAACATATAAAGAGCTCTAAAACTTGGGCAGGTGCAGTGGCTGATGCCTGTAATCCCAGCACTTTGGCAGGCTGAGGCGGGTGGATCACCTGAGGTCAGGAGCTCGAGACCACCTGGCTAACATAGTGAAACCCCATCTATACTAAAAATACAAATAATTAGCTGGGCATGGTGGTGGGCACCTGTAATCCCCGCCATTAGGGAGGCTGAGGCAGGAGAATCGTTTGAACTTGGAAAGTGGAGGTTGCTGTGAGCCAATATGGCACCATTGCACTCCGGCCTGGACAAGAGTGAAACTCTGTCTCAAAAACAAAAGGCTGTCTATCCTTTGCTATCAGCTAGCACTGGGAGGGGGAGTCTCTCCCCACTCAGCAAGATCACAAATGCCACAGCATCAAGAACACAGAAAATTTAAAATAGAGAATACAGTTGGCCCTGTGATGAATGGATGCCAGACGAATTCAGAATCTCAGAAAACGCAGAGCACCCTGCAAGGTGGCCAGTCATAGGACTCACCTCATCCAGCCTTTGCCAGGTGAAATAGATGAGCCCGGGTAAACTGTTTAGAGGGGCCTTGCCTGCAGGGGGCGCCATGGAAGCTTCGCTGTTTCTTCTCCCCTTGCTTCACCCCCTTCACTTCCCTCGCTGTGCAGTCCCTCCCTGTCCATCCTACTCTCAGGCTGCCCCTTCTCCTTACCCATCCCTCGCCTCAGGTTTCCCCAGCTGCCTGCTTTAATCTACACTCTCCTAGATGATGCCCAGCCATTCTCTCACCCGCTTCTTATCTTGTGCTTAGACTCCTACGGAGTTACCATTTCACCTCTCTCAATTTTTTTACATCTGTTAACCCTTGTGCCTTTAGATTTGTCTTCACCTATCGTTACAATGCTTCTTTCTCTGCCCCTTCTCTGGTAGCACCCCACCCCAGCACCCCCAACACACCCTCCCGTTCCTCTATTTCACCTTCATTCACTCATTGGGCAATTTGCTTCGGTTCCTTACATTTGCCTCTTTCTCATCTGTCCTCTTTACCATTTTATTCCTATTCTGTCTTCTCTCACAGTCCATTTACAGTGATATTTTCCTATTTGTATGGTTATTTTATGATATTTGTGTTTAAATGCTTTTGAAATATCCTTTATCTTATTGTTTCTTCTTCTCTTCCCTTGTCATATTTTAGAGTGTTTTATTTCTCAGTCCTCTACATGATTGCATTACCTCTGTTCCTCTAGAATAGCGTCTGTTCCAAGCTTTCTCTCTTCCTGTGTCCTTCCGCCGCCCCGGCTCTCTGCATTATTTGCTTTTAATGGAATAGAAATCTTTCCCTTGTATTTCTCTCACTCGTCTCTCTTCACACACCCCTCGTCCCGCCTTTCCCCACGCCCCCCTCTACGTGCTTCTTGCTCTTTGCTTTTCCTTTTTACTTCCTCACCGTTTCAATTTCTACTTTCCTCTGTCTTACTGCTGTGTCACAAATGGGACTGCTGCCAACCACTCCGGTGTGTCGGCCGGGAGGCGGCAGTTTTAAGAAGGGTTGGCCGCTCAGCCTCACAGGGGGACCCCCGTCTTATGCTGCAGTGAAGTACTACAGACTGGGTGGCTTACACACAACACGTTTATTTCTCACGATTTTGGAGGCGAGAAGTCCAAGATCCAGCGGGCAGCATGGTCAGGTTCTGGTGCAGGACTTCTCCTGGGCTGCAGCCGCCACCTTCTCCATGTCCCCACATGACGTAAACAGAGCTAGAGCACTCTCGGGGTCTCTTTTATAAGGGCACTGGTCCCATCATGAGGACCCCGCCTTTGACCCACTTTCCTCTCAAGGCCCCCCACCTCCCATCACACTGAGGGGTACAATCTCAGCGTTGGAATTTTGGAGGACACAAACACTCAGGCCATGCCACAGTCTTTAGAAGAATCCCAGGATGACTTGTCAGGCTCCTGGGAGATCCGTAACTGTGGGAAAGCGTCACACCCCAGGGAAGGCCACCGGCTGGGAGAGCCATCCCAGACAAGGCCTGCTCCCTTCACACTGACCTCTGTGGAGAAGTCGGCTTGGCATGTGCTTTCTCTTCCACTGCAGAGTTAAATGCGAGAAGGTAGAAACCCAGAGGCCGTGCTGGCGCTGAGAGATGAGCCCCACTCACCAGATTCAAGGTCCCAACGTAGGCAGACACCGGGCAAGCAGTCTCCCATTCCGGGAGTTTGGAACTTAAATAGAGCCATAGAGATGCTCAGACCTGATCCAAGTGAGCGCATTCAGTGACATTTCCTAGAGGGTCCTGACACCTTCATCTGCACCTGGGGCTGCCCCAGGTTCTGTGCTGCCAGTCACAGTGCGCAGGTGCTGCTGAGCTCCTCTAAACTATGAACTAACAAGTGAGTTGAGGGAGGGATGCCGCCAGCTGTGTGGACCTGGCCCATGGGGGAGGCCGGGGTGGAGGTCAGCCCGGGAGTCTGCACACCTGCAGCTTGTTTCCGCCACGCAGATGGGCACAGGTGAAAACCTTTACAAGTGCTGCAGACGTTGGCCAGGCCTTTAAATTCAGAGCAACCCGGAGAGGAGAAAGGAGAGTGGGTGGGGGTTCCGGCGTGGAAGATGGAGGTCCGATTGCCTGACTTAGCTTTGAAGCGGATCTTCTCTTTCCTGGACGTATTCAGCTTGCTGCAGGTTTCCCAGGTGAACAAGGTAAAGGCCCTCCATCTCCCACTGCCCCCCACGCCCGCTGCCTCTCCCACCAGTTTGACTACACTGCAGAATAGCAGGAGGATACACGGAGGGTGTGGGGTTAGCATCCTTCACTCTGAGGGCCTCATGTTCTGTTAAACAAGAAGGACAAGCTGACATCCAGGAGCTGCGGTGATTAAACCGTCCTTAAGCCTCCCATTTCAAGCCCTAGGAAATCAGCACTTCTTCCTCTGAACTCATGGGAATACCACGTGCCTGTTTTAGCCGTGATAGGTCTCTGTTCCCGTTTCCTCATCTCTCCACACTGGGAGGGCTTTGCGAGCTGGAATCCCATCTGAGTAACTATGAGGGTCGGGCTCCCAGAACACATAACAGCAGAGCATTGCCTCTGCTCTCTGATGGAACTGATTGCCTGCTTGTCTCTTCCTTTCTCTCCATAGGATTGGAATAGGGTTGCAGACAGCAATTACCTGTGGAGGTGAGTCATGGAAGGGAACGGGTAAGGAGGGAAGGGGAGAGGAGAGCATCTGACTGTACCCATGCTGTGTACCGAGGCCCTTGTGTGGCTGTGTTGTGAGAGGCACACAGGAAAGTGAGTGTGAGTAAGGGGTTGTGATGTCACCAGGCCTCTGAGGAGGTGAACTGACTGAGCACAGCCTGATGGGATTGTGACTTTCCAGGGCACACTCTCTGCAGAGATGGGACTGCAGCAACATCACCGATCGACACCTGGGTGCATTCACGTGGAAGCAATTGTTCCTGCACCAAAGAAGGAAGGAGCTTCGGTTGTCATTGGCACAGCCGGATAACTTTACCTACAAAATAACTAAGAACACTGGTATGGGGACAGGTGCCCTAGAGGAACATGAGCAACGTGTTTTCAGAAGTCCACTCTATTGGATTTTTGCTGTGTGAAGTTGTGTGTTCTCATTTAGTGAACGGAAACGGAATTAGAATTGAATCAGACTGGGCTGCCATGATAGCCACATGACAGCTCCCTGCTTCCTCTCTTGTCCCCACTGTCTCTGCTGAAAGAAGAAACTAGAGAGATCTTTTTTCACAACATAAAATCTGGTCCTGTTACCCCCTTTTCCTAAGGCTTCCCATCCCTCCCAGAATAAAAATCAGAAACAAATATTAATGTGAAACTCTTTAAAAAAGAGTGTTGGCTGAGCACAGTGGCTCACGCCTGTAATCCCAGAACTCTGAGAGACCAAGGTAGGCAGATTGCTCAAGCCTAGGAGTTCCAGACCAGCCTGGGTAACAAAGTGAGACCCCCATCTCTATACAAAATTTTAAAAAATTAGCCTGGGTGACAGAGCCGGGCCCTGTCTCTAAATAAGTACAGAGGCTGTACTGCTGCAGCCATAACCTCCTCGTCTCAAGAGGTCCTCTTGCCTCAGCTTCCTGTGGGGCTGGGACTACAGGGGAGTGCCACCATACCCAGCTAACATTTATTTATTTATTTTAGTTGGAGTCTTGCTCTGTCCTCTAGGCTAGAGTACAATGGCATGATCTTGGCTCATTCTACCCTCTGTCTCCTGGGTTCAAGCAATTATCCTGCCTCAGCCTCCTGAGTAGCTGGGACTACAGGTGTGCACCTCCATGCCCAGCTAATTTTTGTATTTTAGGTAGAGATGGGGTTTCGCCATATTGGCCAGGCTGGTCTTGAACTCCGGACCTCAGCGATCCACCTGTCTTAGCCTCCCAAAATGCTGAGATTACAGGCATAAGCCATCATATCTGGTCATAGCTTTTTAATTTTTTGTAGAGATTTAGGTCTGCCTTTGTTACGCAGGCTGGTCTGGAACTCCTGAGCTCAAGCGATCCTCCCGCCTAGGCCTTCCAAGCATGAGCCACTGTGCCTGGCCTAATCCTGATAACACTTTTTTTTATGATGGAGCCTCATTTTGTCACCAGGCTAGAGTGCAGCAGCAGTATCTTGGCTCACTGCAACCTCCGCCTCCCGGGTTCAAGCAACCATTGTGCATTAGCCTCCCAAGAAGTTGGGATTCCAGGCAACTGCCACCATGCCAGCTAATTTTTGTATTTTTAGTAGAGACGGGGTTTCACCATGTTGACCAGGCTGGTCTTAAACTCCTGACCTCAAGTGATCCGCCTGCCTCACTTCCCAAAATGCTGGGGTTATAGGTGTGAGCCAGTGCACCTGGACGTCATAACTCTTTTAAAACTCAGAAAAGTTCACTAAACTCTGAGAGATTTTTGTTTGGTTTTGTTTTGTTTTGAGACAGAGTTTGACTCTTGCTGCCCACATTGGAGTACACTGGCACAATCTCGGCTCGCCGCAACCTCCTCCTCCTGGGTTCAAGCGATTCTCCTGCCTCAGCCTCTCAAGTAGCTGGGATTATAGGCCTGCACCACCACACCAGGCTAATTTTGTATTTTTAGTACAGATGGGGTTTCTCCACGTTGGTCTGGCTGGTCTCTAACACCCGACCTCAGGTGATCCACCCCAGCCTCTGCCTCCCAAAGTGCTGGAATTACAGGCGTGAGCCACCACGCCCAGCCTAATGGAGAAATTTTAATATGCATTTTATATCTGTGGAAACTGAGGATAAAAAGGAAAAGCCAGTTGGCTAACATCTCCCAAATAGGCAGTCTGCCGTGGGAACCTGCGTTAGGTTGACTCTGGAGCCCAATTTCTATCTTCTCCATATTGCTACCCAAACCCTCCTAAGAGGACACAGAAATATTTAAAATTATCTTCACTGGGTTTAGATTATCCCTTATCTGTTGGCCAAGTCTTCTGTGTTTCCTTCTAGCATATGAAGCGGGTTTGGCTTATCTCTCAGGAAATAGCTTTACAATGGATGAACAGGAGAAGTCAATCATTTGTAGTGTCTCCCCAAAGAAAGAGCTTTGTGCCTGGGATGTGCAAGAGGTGAGTCTGGCCAATATGTAGCAAAAGTGCTGCATCCTGGTGTCCATCCTGTTCCATGTATGACACGGAAGTGCCCAGAGGAAAATGCTCGCAAGTGGAACAAAAACCACATTTCAAATCAGGTTTTCTGTCTTGTAATTTGCGACATTTTCATTTGGACCAAAGACACAGATGATTCAATTTTTTTTTTTTTTTTT